AACCTATCTAGGAATTTTCCCTCCCATTCCTGGTAACCAACAAAGAAAGTTTCCTTCCATATCACCTTTTCCTTGACTTTTTACAAGAGCCTCCACAGGGTTTTCGATGGCTGATTTCTCAGAAGTAGATTGTCAAGCCTTTCTTCCAAGACACCTTGGGGTGAACTTGGACTACCAACCTTGTACTTAGTGGCCAAACACCCAACCCAAGTGTTAAATCATTTGTGCTACCCAATGACATATTACACTGACAATACAGTAATTAATGACTTGTTTATGCATTATTTACAGAGTTACTCTCATGTTGTGTGATTTCAAGTAGGATTTTTGCTTAAGGATAATGAATTAAAAATGATATCCTGACATGAGTAATTTTATTGAGAAATAAAAAAAATTTTCAACCTTCTTTGTTCACATGATGAAGAAATGTTTATGATATTTATAATTGCAATAAGATGATATAAAGGTAGTAAATAAAATTTTTTGGTAATTTCTACTGAGCAATATATGTGAATTCACTAAGCATCACAAAGTCAACTGGACAACACAAAATTATAAAGATGACATGTTCTACTAGAGCCAGAAAACAGTTAGACTAGAGCCAGAAAACAGATAACTTATCGTTGTGGTCAAATGTTAATGCCATTGAACAGAGACCCACTCACACTGCCACTGAATTGATCCCGGCTTGTAGCAACCCTACAGAACAGAGTAGCCCTGCCCCATAGGATTTCCAGGCCATAAATCTTTATGGAAGCAGACTGCCGCATCTTTCTCCCATGGAGCAGCTGGTGGGTTCTAATCACTGACCTTCTAGTTAGCAACCAAATGCTTGGACCACTACGCCACTAGAGCCGTTTAACAGAAGGGACTACACATACATTTAGTGCATTAAACTGGTTGCTGCTGAGTTGATTCTGACTCTTAACTCCCTAAGTGTTCCAGAGCAGAACCCTGCTCCACAGGGTTTTCAATAACTGTGATCTTTCAGAGTAGATCACCAGACTCTTCTTCCAAGGAGCCTGTGATAGCTGGAGCTGTGTGTCAACTTGGCTGGACCATGATTTTGAGTGGTTTAAGCAGTTGTGATGTGGGTTATTCCTACGTGAGATTGGCTGTATATGTTTTGAGCAGCCAGTCTGTTGAAAGGGAGTTTCCCTAGGGGTGTGGCCTGCTTCCAATATATTTATGGACATCCTGGGAAAACAGACACTCACTCTTCTGTGGATTGGGATCCTGTTGTGCTTCCTGCAACTGTCAGTGAGCAAACAATCCACCATTCACCATTCAGCCTGGGGATCTTGGATTCGTCATTTGTTGGAGTCAACAGCTGGTATACTGCCTGCCAACCTTGAGCTCATCAGCCCCTGCAGCTGTGTGAGTCAGGAAAAGCCTCCAGCTTGACGTTTGATCCAAGAACTTGGGACTTGCCAGCTTCTATAAGTCTATGGACCATTTTCCTAAGATAAATTTCTCTTTATGTATATATAAGCTTTACTGATTTTACTAGACAAGAATGTCTAGAGAACCCAGCCTAACCCAGAGCCTCTGGGTGGATTTGAATGCCAACCTTTCAAATTAGTAGCTGAGCACTTAACCTTCTGCATCACCCAAAAACTCCATTTCATTAAGGCATCCTTAATACCCCTTCATCCCATCAGTCACCGTACGATGGAAACCATTTCCGCCTCTGAACTACCTCCTGGCCATGCCCTGGTCCCCTATCTTCTTGGCCATGGCTGTGGCTCTTCATCCCTTTGGTTTGAGCTTCACAAGAGCCTCCTCTACCCCTTCTGCTTTTGGACATGCCTGACCATGGAGTGTGTCTGTAAGGGTGACTCGTCCACACTTGGCTCATCAGTATAGGGAGGTTAGTCCATGCTTGCTTCTCTTGGCCAAGGCCACAGCAGGCTCACACATTCTACTGTGCCTCCTTGTTACTCTCCAAGTGTCTGCACATGCCGGCTATATATAGCCAATCACTTTGGCTCTCCTCCATGAACACCGAGCTTACCCAGAAAGCCAGAGATGAGGTGCCAGCAACTTCCAGTAGGTTAGCGTATCCTCCTGCCTGTCAGGTCCTTGCACTGCGGTGGCTGGCGTGTTGCAATGATGCTGGAAGCTAC